TATTTGACAGAGAGAGAGAGACAGCTAGAGAGGGAACACAAGCAGGGGGAGCAGGAGAGGGAGAAGCAGGCTTCCCACAGAGCAGGGAGCCCGATGTGGGACTTGATCCCAGGACCCTGGGATCATGACCTGAGCCGAAGGCAGACGCTTAACGACTGAGCCACCCAATCGCCCCCTGAAAAAAAATTTTTTTAAAGGGTGTATATACCACAGAGGCAGTAGACTAGTAGTTGCCAGAGGTTCAGGGAAATGGGGAATTGATAGCTAATGAGTTTCGGGTTTCTTTCTGGGGTGGTGAAAATGTTCTGGCATTAGATCATAGTGATGGTTATACATACTAAAGCCCTGAACTCTGCCCTTTAAAATGATGAATTTTATGGTGTGTGAGTTATATCTCAATAAAAGTACAAACTGAAGTTGCAAACCCCACATCTGTTTATGCAGAGCGTTCGCTATGCATCTGTGCTAAGAGCTGTTCAAAATTTATAAGTAAATTTAGCATATAAATGTATATTTATATTCTATAAATAAAAGAATGTAGCAAATTGTTAAAAAGCTCTTGTTACTTCCAAGATTTCTTTTCCAGGTGAGTAACACAGGACTTGTCTTAATTCCTCCAGCAATTAGTTGAGACAATACAATGAAGTGCTTACTACCAAGTGAAGTTGAACTGACCCCAGTGGTGTGTGCAAAGGGTTGGTGGAGTAGAGGGTAGAGTGTTTCCGCTACCTGGAAGATACCAGAATTTAGGACCCCATGAAGGAAACAAACTTAGATGGTTTATATTCAACGTAAACCACATTGTTTGTACAGTTTTGCACAGAAAATCAGCCTTTTCTTTTAGGGTGGTGGCATAGCCGTTTTAGGCCTATTTTCTTAACTTTTTTTGTATACAAGTGATTGTTCCATTAATAATTTTTTTATAACTTTCCTATTTTATACTCCTACTTCAAAAAGATTACTTTTCTATCATTTTGTTTGCTTCATCACATCTTTCCATTAAATGGGATTCTTTTAGATTCAGAAAAATGGTTCTTTTTCTTTTTTTTTAAATTTATTTGACAGAGAGACACACAGCGAGAGAGGGAACACAAGCAGGGGGAGTGGGAGAGGGAGAAGCAGGCTTCCCGCTGAGCAGGGAGCCTGATGCGGGGCTCGATCCCAGGACCCTGGGATCATGACCTGAGCCGAAGGCAGATGCGTAACAACTGAGCCACCCTGGCGCCCCAGGCATTCAACTCTTGATTTCAGTTTAGGTCATGATCTTATGGGTTGTGAGATTGAGCCCCTGCATTGGGTTCCAGCTCCAAGCTCAGTGGGAGTGTGCTTGAGATTGTCTATCTCCCTCTGCCCCTCCCCTCACTTGCATGCACTTTTTCAGATAAATCTTTAACAACAGAAGATCAAAGTGAAATAAACAAGATGTGTGAGATAATGGACAAGGGGAATTTTTACAGGGAGTAGTGCATACAGTGAAACCATAAGTGTTCACATTTTAGCATATAACCCAACCAAAAAAAATAAATAAGAGAATCCCTTAAGGGCTTCTCTTGAACACTACACATGGTCTCTTTGTTTTACGTAATATGATGAATGTGGTTGTGACTGACTGATCTTTCCTCACTTATTCCTGTATCTCTTTAGAAATGAAATTCCAGGAACAAGGTATAAATATATAATGTTTGTATGGGTCAAGTTTTGTCTCAGAGGGCTGTATTCACCCCCATGTCTTAAGTGTGTCTGGTGGCCCATATTCATATGTTGAAAATTGAAAATTCATAGTTATAAACTCAACATTATTTGAAAGTATAGTAGAGGTGTCATTATATTCTCTAATTTTGTTCATTTCCTTGACTTCGTAAAATTAATCTTGTCAATTCTAAGTAATTCTGTCATGTTCTGAGTGTGATTTACTTAGTATGTTTTCCTTCTTGAGTCTCCTTTTCTGATTTTTCTCTTGGGGGATAGTGGCCTTCTGGTATTGAAGTGGGGGGGTGAGTTTGTCTTTGTTGGCTTCTGCTGAGGAGTTCTTATCTGGCCCTATTATTATTCTGATGTTTGTGGTCCTGCAATGGCTTCCATTGGGTAAGTGGTCAATATAGTGCATCATCTTCTGTTTGTCCTTGGGCCTCTTTGGGTCCTCTTATGGGTTCAGGAACTCTCAGCTATTTTCTTCTACTTCATTGGGTTGCATGTGATCTTTGAGGCTGTATTTACTCAGTCTTTACCACACTTCACTTTTTTAGATGTTGGGATATGAGTTATCACCCTTGAAATTGAGGCTTGTAAGGCTCTTTTCTTTTGGGTTTCCACTCAGTTTATCTGAGGTTTCTATAATCCCCTTGTGTCCATCACCCCAAGGTATTCCACACCTGCTTCTGTTTCATTTTCTGTCTAAAATGTCTTTACTTGGGGGGTGCCTGGGTGGCTCGTTCGATTGAGCGTCTGCCTTCAGTTCAGGTCATGATCCTGGGGGCCTGGGATCGAGCCCCACATCGGGCTCCCTGCTCAGTGGGGAGCCTGTTTCTCCCTCTCCCTCTGCCATTCACTCCACTTGTGCTCTCTGGCTTTATCTCTCTGTCAGATAAATAAATAAAATCTTTAAAAAATATATTTAAAATGTCTTTACTAGCCCAGGAGTCATTTTTTTAATAAAGATTTTATTTTTAAGTAACCTCTATACCCAACGTGGGGCTCAAACTCAAAACCCTCAGATCAAGAGTTGCATGCTCCACCAACTGAGCCAGCCAGGTGCCCCCACCCAAGGAATCATTTTTAATAATCATTTTTCTTTCTCGCTCTCCTTTTTTAAAAAAGATTTTATTTATTTGGGAGGGCAAGAGAACGTGGGAAAGCAAGGGGAGGAGCAGAGAAAGGAACAAGCATACTCCATGCTGAGTGTGGAGCCCGTCGTGGGGTTCAGTACCATGACCCTGAGGTCATGACCTGAACTGAAATCAAGAGTCCAATGCTTAACCGACTGAGCCACCCAGGTGCCCCAGTAATCATTTTTTTTTAGATATTTTATTTGACAGAGAGAAAGACATCGAGAGAGGGAACACAAGCAGGGGGAGTGGGAGAGGGAGAAGCAAACTCCCCATGGAGCAGGGAGCCCAATGCGGGGCTTGATCCCAGGACCCTGGGATCATGACCTGAGCCGAAGGCACTTAATGACTGAGCCACCCAGGCGCCCCCCCAGTAATCATTTTTAATAACAGTTTAGGATTTAAAGTCTCTGTTATTCTCAGGATCTTCATTTATTTGTAAAGGGAAGCTTTTGGAATCCAGAAAACCCCTTCACCTCTTAGCCCTTGTGTTAATGCACAGATTTACTACTGCAATAGATTTACTATTATTTGCATAGTGAGAGACTGATAGCAAGGGAAAAAAAAATTTAACTTAGGCAAAGATCTTTTATTTTTGGTTAGGCTTACGTAGTTCAAAAAGTAAACATAATTAACAAAACACAACTACCAGAGGAGATGCTCTGGTATCAGTGAAAGGCACTAACCATAAGAAAGTCTGATACGGATCTTCATGTACAGATGCCAGTTAGATCCTGTCAAATGAATATGCTATATTCATCTGTCTGTGTGTGAGGCGGTTGGGAGGCAGGAGCAGGAAGAACCAAAGCCTCTTCTCCACTGGGTTAGGCAGCCAGGCCCTCCAGGGGTATTATTACAGATGACATGAAGGTGATTGTGTTGATAGCAATGGTAACAGTCCCAGCTGTGATGAGGATATCAGCAACAGTTTGACAGGATCTGTAAATCCTTAGTGCTTCTTTCTCATACAGCTGATCATCCCTGATCCATTCCTTGGACAGGCCACAATATCTTCTTTGACAAAAATGAATCCAGTGCATTCTTTTATCACTGAAAACACACCAGTCTTGGTATTTGCTAATTTGGAAAAACGGTAAAAATACTTTTGCATCATTTTGGAAATGAGTCCAGTCTAAGCTACAAGAAAGTGTATTGTTAAAAAACATACATGGGTACTTTCAGTGGTGGTGGTTTTAAAACACTGTGCTTGGCTATAAAAGCCTTACAAACTTAATGAATAATAGCGAGGAAATTTTAATATCAGTATATCATCTGATATCTATTTCATTTCCCTGTTTTGTCTTCCTCAATGAGCTTTTCCATCCTTTTGTTTTACTTAGGAAAGTAGTAAAGAAGGAACATTTACAAGTCATATCTTTCATCACCCACTCTTGCTTCCCCCTGCCCCCAGCCTCCACCTTGAACGTGTCTTTGTCTTCTGGCTCCCCTCCTTCCCTTTTGCTTAGCTGCCTGGCTGCTTGGCTGATGTATTTTAGATGTCATTTTAGGGTGTTTTTGTTTTTGTGTTAAGATTTTATTTATTTGCCAGAGAGAGCACGCACAAGCAGGGAGAGGGAGAAGCAGGCTCCTCACTGAGCAGGGAGCCCGATGCATTTCTCCATCCCAGGACCCTGATCATCACCTGACCTGAAGGCAGATGCTTAACCGACTGAGCCACCCAGGCATCCCTCATTTTAGGTTTTAGAAAGACTTTTCTGAACAAGACTTGGTTAGACACAGGGAGGCTGGGAGGTGGGAATTTGAGGTGGTGGGATATGGGGATGATGGTTCCACATAAAACATGAATTAGGTACTCATTCTTTTCCATCATAATTTGTAAAAGTTAACTACAGTGATTATGCAGGTTCAAAGATGTTGATTTACTCTGTCGTCTTGAATGGGGTATGCTCTAAAAAGCATTCATCTTTGTCTGACTTAGATGTTTACTTGTATCTGATGCAGTAAATGTTTATTGACTCATTTTAAGAGTATATGTAGTAACTTCTGAGACGTTTTTCTCAAGAGAGAAATTTCCCATGTATATACCTTGGAATTATTACAAAGAATTTCTAGGGAGATGTTAATTCCAGACACTGCATTAAACTCTTACAATTTTACCTACCCAGGACCCCTCGTCCAGTGATTGTGGAGCCTATGGAGCAGTTTGATGATGAAGATGGCTTGCCGGAGAAGCTAATGCAGAAAACCCAACAATATCATAAGTAAGATTTTATTAATAAAGACATTTTGATATGTGATATCAAGGATAATATATCACATCTGTTATCAAGTATTGTTAGATTATAAGGTGTTCTGTTCAGTCATATAATCTGGTTAATAGAGTGGCCTGGTCTACATGAATGTTATTCTTCTTTTATATATGGGTAGAACATTAACTTAGAATTCTGAGTCTACTTTTATAACTGGGACAGGTGTGGGTAGGTAAAACTAACATATTTGCAAGCATGAATTCAACAAATACTGGAGGGCTTTTGTGCTAGGCACTGTTCCACGTGTTTTCAGTGCAACTTTGAACTGTTTTTGCCTTCCTACTGCTTATATTTCTGGTGGTGGAGTTATACAAGAAGTAAGGAACCAAAAATTATAAAACATGTATTAGGGGCGCCTGGGTGGCTTAGTCGTTAAGCGTCTGCCTTCGGCTCAGGTTATGATCCCAGGGTCCTGGGAGCAAGCCCCGCATCAGGCTCCCTGCTTGGCAGGAAGCCTGCTTCTCCCTTTCCCACTCCTCCTGCTTGTGTTCCCTCTCTCACTGTCTTTCTGTCTGTCAAATAAATAAATAAATAAAATCTTAAAAATATATATATATTAAATTGTGAGAATTACTATTTAAAAAACTCACTAACATAAGGTGTAAAGGCTTAGATCAAAGTGTATGCATATTTAAAGTTGATTAATACTGGCAGATGGTTTTCCAGGAATATACCAATTTACATTCCTTGATGTATGTATAAAGGTATTTTTCTTCATCATGACGAAAAGATGGATGTATGATTTTAAGATTTGATAGCCTTTGTTCAAAATGATATTTTATGCGTGTTATTTTAATTAGCGTTCTTTTAGTGCAGTTGAATTTTTTTCTTTGTAGTTGATTTAAATGAGAAATATGAATGCTTGTTATATGCCTGGTGCAGGAGATGTGTCAGTGAACAAAATAGGCCAGAAATTCATGCTATGTGGGGGGTGGTAAGGAGGGTAAACAATAAAATTAGTAAAACAAATACAGCAGAAAGACAGGGGAAAGTGGATGCTGTGGAGCAGAGTAGTGTGTTCTTTTTACAGGTGGTTTGGGAAGTCTACCTGAGAGGGTGACAGGTGACATTTGATTAACAGCTTGAAGGAGTGGGGAGGAAGAAGCTAGCTATGTAGGATCAGAAGTGGGCTGGAATAGAGAGAATAGTGATCTCAGCAGAGGAAATAGTACCTATAAAGGCCTTGAGGGAACTCTGGCAAGTTCTAGGAACAGTAGAGAGGCCAGTTTAGCTGGAGCATAGTGAGTAGGGAGGGAAAATAGTAGGGAGGAGGTAGAAATAGGACCTTGGGAGGAGTGTAGATTGTTGTGCCTTGCTGGCTGTTGAACTGACTTTTGTATTTTATGAGTAGTGACTTAATCCTAAATTTAACAGTAGCTTTTTTGGCTCCTGTTTTAAGAATAGATTTGTAAAGAACCAAGGGTGGAATTGGGGGGATAGTAAATTAGGAGCCTGCTGAAATGGAGGTCACAGTGGTGATGGTGAGAAGTGGTCAGATTCTGGCTATAGTTTGAAAATAGACTTTGGGTTTTGCCGGTGGATGTGGGAGAAAGAGAGTTAAAAGCATGATTATGTGGTTTTTGGCCGAAGTAACTGGAAATATGGAAATTGCTAATGATTGATCTGGAGAATCTTGTAGGAGGAGCATTTTGGGGGGAGGAAGTTCAGGAACCTTGTTTTAGACATCTTAAGTTTGAGATGGTTTCCAAAACCCAAGTGGAGATGTCAAATAAGTAGTTGGATTTGCATCTGGAATTTAGATGAGCTTTCTGAGCTACACTTACCACATGTGATAGATAACTATGTCAAAGGACTGAACCCTGGAATACTCCAGTATATAGAGTTGGGGAAGCATAGAAGGAATTAGCAAAGACAAGAGTGGAACAGTCATTGCTGTAGGGGGATCAACTGGCAGTATGTCCTGGAAGCAAGGGAAGAAAGTATTTTAGGGGAGAAGGATCAGTAGTATAATCAGTTGTAATTCAGAACCGTTTTAATTTCTCATACAATGCTGTTTTTCAAAGAATTACTATGATTTCCTAGTCACTTGACTTTTTTTCTGGTTATAGTTTAGCATTACAAATTTGAACTAGAGCATACTTTTGGATTCAAGAATTAGAGAACTGGAATTATAAGGGTGTTACAAAAAGTGGAATTTATATACATATAGAAATATTCATTTATATAATTTAATTACTCAGCAAACCTTACAAGATCTCATATTTCCAGTTTTGCTACTAAAGAGTTATGCTCAGAAGGGAATGTTTCACAAAGGCTAAGTGCCATGGTTCAAATTTAGTTCTAACTCCTCAAATCCATATTGTTTCAGTAGTGTTCCCCTTGGAGAAAATGAAGATTTTTTAATATTTGTGATTATAGTCAAAGTCTGATTTTAGGAACTACTGACTAATAAATAATTCTTTCAGAAAAATGAGTAGGTGGTTGATCTCCCCCATTCCTTTCCTTTTTCCAGTCAGTGTTTTAAAAGAAAATGTCTGTCTTGTTTTTTAAGTATAGAATACCAGGTCATGGTTAACTTTGATTTTCCTGATGTACCTCTGAAAATCTTTAAAGCTCTTTCTTGTTACTACGTGTTTTTTTCTGTGACAGCCTTACCTTTTATCTCCCAAATTTGTCTCACCTACGCATCTTCCCCTCCCTACCCTAAAATAAAAGTTAAAATTTAGGATTGCAAGGCCTCTATACTTTCACTGGTGGGGTAGGGATTATGTTTTTACTAATATTATTTATTTATTTATTTTTAAAAGATTTTATTTATTTGACAGAGAGAGACACAGCAAGAGAGGGAACACAAGCAGGGGGAGTGGGAG